TTCCGAATGCACTGTATATTGCGTTATTTTATAATACCTACATAAGTGTGTCAAACACCACGTTTATTCAAATTCGTTTTTTCCCTGCCAAGATGTTTCCTTTCGTTTGAAAGTTTGTTTCTTAAATCCTTTGTTGTGATGAATTCTTTAGTCATGTATTTTTTAGTTATATTTTAAATAACTTTATGACACTCATTAAGCATTATGACCATCATAATCATATAAGCCAGATAGGCCTATCACATACATGTCCCTTATATCAGTCATCAGTCAAAAAGAGGGCGTCTTGTCCTGCTCCTGAAATCTGCTCCTGCATTCATCCCAGTCATCAGCAACAGAGCATTGGGGTAGGTGCATGTCTGACATCAATGTGTGCGCAATTACAATGATCATTTAATATGGTAAATAAATAAAATAAATAAATATATACAGTACCAGTCAAAAGTTTGGACACACCTACTCATTCAAGGGTTTGTCTTTATTTTTTACTATTTTCTACATTGTAGAATAATAGTGAAGATATCAAAATTTATGAAATAACACATATGGCATATGTAGTAACCAAAAAAGTGTTAAACAAATCAAAATATGTATTATATTTGAGATTCTTCAAATAGCCACCCTTTGCCTTTATGACAGCTTTGCACACTCTTGGCATTCTCTCAACCAGCTTCGCCTGTAATGAATTTCCAACAGTCTTGAAGGGGTTCCCAAATATGCTGAGCACTTGTTGACTGCTTTTCCTTCACTCTGCTCTCCGACTCATCCCAAACCATCTCAATTGGGTTGAGGTCGGGGGATTGTGGAGGCCAGGTCATCTGATGCAGCACTCCATCACTCTCCTTCTTGGTCAAATAGCCCTTACACAGCATGGAGGTGTGTTGGGTCATTGTCCTGTTGAAAAACAAATGATAGACCCCCTAAGCGCAAACCAGATGGGATGGCGTATCGCTGCAGAATGCTGTGGTAGCTATGCTGGTTAAGTGTGCCTTGAAATAGGGATATCTTCTGTATACCACCCCTACCTTGTCACAATACAACTGATTGGCTCAAATGCATTAAGAAGGAAAGAAATTCCACAAATTAACTTTTAAGAAGGCACACCTGTTAATTTAAATCCATTCCAGATGACTACCTCATGAAGCTGGTTGAGAGAATGCCAATAGTTTTGAAGTCTTCAATATTATTCTACAATGTAAACATTTATAAAAAATAAAGAAAATCCCTTGAATGAGTAGGTGTGTCCGAACTTTTGACTGGTAGTGTATATACCATAAATGCCTGGAGTCTCTTGATTCAGTTTTGAACTGTCAAGATGAGTTAAACAAGGGTGTTCGCTGTCACCATATCTATTCGTTATGGCCATCGAAATGCTATCTATTACAACATTAGAGGATTACCAATCCAAGGCTTAAAAACAAAGGTGTCCATGTATGCCGATGACTCAAGTTTTATATTAAGTCCACGAGCTAGATCCCTGCAATGTCTCATTGAAGATCTAGATATTTTCTGGCCTCTGGACTAAAATCGAATTATGATAAGTGTACCATATTACATATTGGACCTTTTAAAAAAACACAACTATTATATTACCCTGCAGTTTACCTATAAAATGGGCTGATGGTGAAGCAGACATGCTTGAAATTTGGTATTTTATTAGGATCCCCATTAGCTGTTGCAAAAGCAGCAGCTACTCTTCCTGGGGTCCACACAAAACATGAAACATGACATAATACAGAACATTAATAGACAAGAACAGTTCAAGGACAGAACTACATACATTTTTTATTAAAGGCACACGTAGCCTACATATCAATACATACACACAAACTATCTAGGTCAAATAGGGGAGAGGCGTCGTGCCGTGAGGTGTTGCTTTATCTGTTTTTTGAAACCAGGTTTGCTGTTTATTTGAGCAATATGAGATAGAACGGAGTTCCATGCAATAATGGATCTATATAATACTGTACGCTTTCTTGAATTTGTTCTGGATTTGGGGACTGTGAAAAGACAGTGGCATGTCTGGTGGGGTAAGTGTGTGTGTCAGAGCTGTGTGTAAGTTGACTATGCAAACAATTTGGGATTTTCAGCACATTAATGTTTCTTATAAAAAGAAGAAGTGATGCAGTCAGTCTCTCCTCAACTTGGTATTCATATCACAAAATATATAAATGAGCTCTCCACAATTAATTCAAATAGAAAACTATTAAAAATAGACAAGATCCTGCAACCATGGAGAGGTAAATACCTGTCTATTTTTGAAAACGTACACTGATTAACTCCTTAGTCATATCTCAGTTTACTCACTTACTTATGGCGCTGCCTACTCCTGATGATTAGTTTTTCAAATCATATGAGCAAAAAATATTTTGCTTTATCTGGGATGCTAAACCAGACAAGATAAAGCGTGCCTATCTATATAATGAATATGAACTGGGTGGGTTGAGGTTTAGTGCTTTTATATTTAATAATCTATCTCTAAAAGCTTCACTTATACAAAAGTTTTACTTGAACCAAAAATGGTTCTCAAGTAGATTACTAAGAAAAGCTCATCCATTGTTTTTAAAAATGTCATTTTTGACTGTGCAGATTGCCATGTCTCATTTTTGATTAATTGAAAATGAAACCTTCTTCAAAGTATATATTTTTCAAAAAAGCATTGCAGAACTGGTTACAATTTCAATTTTCATCCCCCAGAAAAGATATAACAAATATTATGGTTGAACTCAAATGTGCTGGCTGATAAAAGACTCAAACCGTATTTTCTTTTTAAATTATATTGTAAATTTGAATGGTCTCAGGTTTAGGAATGGCTGAAAAAGCATAACATTAATAAAACATTTACCCTAGAAATAGCATTGTTGGGAGATCTAGAGAGACCTGGTCAGTCAATTACTAATATACTAATACTCTTAGTAAAATTATTTATCTTCAACTCACAATCTGTGGATTTTGATTCAATTAGATAGATTCAAATTTTATGTTAAACATCACAGCATAGTTGAAAGATATATATGGCGCGTAGAAATCCGAAGAGGGTGGCCAGCAGAGATAGGTGGGATGGGCTGAGGGAAACAGAGGGTTGGGATGTGGAACTGGAGACAAGTGGGAGTGGAGTTGCTGGGCGAGGAATAGAATGACGGTCAAAGATAACAGTAAAAATAAAGTCAAAATAAACAAGCAATGGTTGGATGGTTGAGGGGGGGATCTTGGATGGTTGGTGGCCTGGCGGTTGGGAACCTGGTGCTGGTGGCCGATAGGTCGGGTCTACAATTTGACTTGGTGGGAGATCTGTCTACGTCCCCTTGGGCGGGGCACTTGACCCTGGTTGCACCTGTAGATCGCTCTGCATGGGGGTCTGCTAGATGACTGAATGTAATGTAAATGTTGAGCGGCTTCACTGCAGGTAGATTGTATGTTTTAATATTCAATAAAATAAAAATAGAAAAAAACTTGTATTTTGAGCAATGTTATAGATAATCTTCTAAAAACCAATGTTCCAAACCTCATGTCTCTATCCTAATCCGTTCAAAAGTTAATAGAGTTTGTGGTAAAAAAATTGCACAGCATCGTGTCAGCTATGCTGGAAGTTGTGCGGGAACAAAGGCTCCCTGACAGGCTCACTTTCCCATTGAACTTGTCATCTTTCTTCTCGAATCCGCAGGACATAAAACAATATAGGTAAAATAGATATCGATTTTGAGACATGACATGTAGTATTTTCATATTTTAGTATACACTTTTCATATTAATGCAAAATTCCTGTTATTTTTTCGAAGATTTCTCACAAAAACAAGCTTATCTCTGTGAAATGTCAACGGCGCACTGACCATACCGCAAGTTTTTTTATTTTCAAAGCCTAATTCAGCTCGTCATGCAAATATTGCTTTTTGCAACCCGCGTTAACAACTTTGAAGACGACCACCACAACATGTAAATTCCTCAGAATTTGCAGCGAGAAAGTTGCATCGCTCTGTTGGGGCTTATTATCGGATGTATTAGGTTACGGAATCTGACATTTTGGATATACTGTTAATACAATTTTAGAGAAAGACCCCACTGAATGATTCAGAACATGAATAATCATATTTGTCTTGGTAAAATGTATTTTATAACTTAAGGTAGTGAAGTTATATTACCAAAGCACGTTTTCACCTGCTTGGGGCAGAGTGGGTGTGGACACTAGGGGTGTGCCGACATGGCCATAATCATATCTGTAAATTGATAGTCGGATCAGATGATACTCGTGATCGGAAGAAACGGAAGTGTTTTAATATGCCTAAATAGATTTTGGCAAAATACCTCCCTGCACGTTCTCACTGCAAAAAAGCTGCAGATTAGGAGCAGCACACAGAGGGGTAGGGGTGTGTGTGTGTGTGTGTGTCTGTGTCCTCAATTTGCAGCAGGCAGCCAAATTTGCTGTCAGATTACACATCAGCGTTTCATTTTATTTATTTTTTCTTTCCCCACTTTTTAGACATTATGCACATTGATATCTTAATAGCAAACGTCTTTCCCATGTGATTTATCATAGTAGCAGGCAGCAGTAATCTAAATGATCAAACCAAAAACATGCAGGGAAAAGTGATCTGGTGAAATTATGAAGCGAGTGGATGGAAAAATACAGCTTCACTATCCAATCAGAGCAGCAGGATCAACGTACAGCCTGTCTCTTCTCTTTACAGACAGGCAAACTAGCGAGTTGAGTTATTTAGATCACGTAGAAACTTGCTTACAAATTCGATCATAACAAAACATTTCTAATATAGTGACAGGAGTAAGTATATTTCAAGTTAGAACCCAACAATTCCAACTTCAATAAATTATTTCTCAACAATTAATGTATTGAATTTCAGAAACATCCATAAAGTAATGTCCTTTTTTTTTTCCAGTTTCATGAGGAATGTCCCTTTTAGCATATTACATGCAAATGCTATTCTTAACCATAATCTCATATCCCTTGTAACCCCTAATCCTGCTCTGTCTTTGTGTCTTATGTCATGTGTGCAGAATGTCCCAATGGTATCCAGTGCTACTCCACCATTCTGAGCCACTACCAGAAATACAGCCACTCCCTGCTTGCCCACAGCCGAGCAACCAATGGCACGGTCTTCTTCGGTCTTTGCTTGGAGACGGTGACCAATGACGGGGCCAAATTAAGCTTGGAGAGCTCACAGGACAGCCAGAGTTCTTCTCCCATTAACAGACACAGTGGAGCTACATCCTCCACAAAGCCAAATGCCCTTCTGCTGCTCCAGTCTCCTGCTCCAGAGGTAATCCGAAAAAAAAAAGGCTGGTCACCTTCTACCAAAGGCTTGAAGTCTACCTTCCAAGAGTATAAAACAAAAGTATCAACTCCTCATAAGGACAATAGTGGGTGTGAAAGCCTTGAGGGTGGTTTTGTCAAAGCAGAGCCCTCTGCTTTTAGTGATGATGAGATCTCCTATTCCCCCATCTCTGAGTTCCCCCCAGATATAGAAGTGAATGGAACACAACCAAGAAAAGCACTATTTCCAAGCAGTATGTTGGAAGATGGGGACAATAATGACTCAATGTTGTTGTTCAGTGATGGAGTCTCAAGTGACGATGAGTTATTTTCCAACCTTGTGGCTCATTCTGAAATAAATGAAGTTGTAGGTTCTCCAGTATTCAACGACACCCAAGTGGTGTCAATTAGCTCATTAGTGCCTAGCAATCATCTACCTAGCTCCTCAAGAGAAGAGCATACAGAGGATAACTGTAATGCGTTCAGTGCTAGGCCTCCACTCCAGTCTCCAGAAAGTATAGTATTAGAAAGCTTACGGGAGCGCCTGTTCAGCCCAAACATCAATAGCAGCCTCCATTCCAAAAGCTTGGATCAGTGCCCCACTCACACAAACACAGCGTTGAACATGTCATTACCTCAAGTGCCTCCATCTTCCGAAGCTTCCCCCACCCAACAATCTCAGGCAACCATGGCACCTAGGAAGGGCAAGGGCAAGGGTGCAGCCTCTAGGCTCAAACAGACAGACATTGGGGTGTTTTTTGGGCTCAAGCCCCTGAAGGACAAAGAGAAGGAGCAGGAGGCTGGGAATGGGAATGTTTTACCTGGGGTGAGTCTCCAGCAGGATCCTGTACTCGGAGAGCGCAAGGGAGGCAAAGGGGACCATGGAAGATGTCAGAGGAAAGGCAGAGGTGCAAATGCCACGGAGACCCCTAAAGTTGGAGTGAGATCAGACGGTGGGACTACACAGACTCCGAGTGAGGGAGGTAGGAAGAGGTGGAACAGGGGGAGAACTGATGGAGAGCAAGGGGAGCCCAAGCGATGCCCGTTTTATAAAAAGATTCCAGGTGAGTTGGTCGGTGACGAGTGTAAGTAGCATGCAGTGTGCCCTGTGGATGGCTAATTGGTAGCAGGAACAACCTCCTGAGATAGCTTAACATACTGCTAACAATGTGCAGTCGGAGACTGACGTAGGCTATCCACAGGAAAGTATTATTAAACCGACTTACGGGGGACTTTTTGAAGATAGCCACCCCTAGCGCCTTCCATGAAAAATGTAGGAGAAAGTACATCTTATTGTATTATACCTTAGTCTCCGACTGTAGTACATCTTTATTGTATTATACCTTAGTCTCCGACTGTAGTACATCTTATTGTATTATACCTTAGTCTCCGACTGCAGTACATCTTATTGTATTATACCTTAGTCTCCGACTGCTATCAATATCAGGATGTCCCGGCTAACCCTATGCTACAGTGTAAAAGGCTTAGGCCTACCTGGGTTTAGGGCAAAATAAAAAAGTGCAAATACCAGTCAGCTCCAGGTGAGCTAAATCACCTAGTGGAAATCTACACATTTAGTACTAATTTCATTCTGCAACATGTTTTTCTCAAGTATGACTGGAAGTGACTAGCGTCCTTCTCTTTTTTCTCTCTTTTTGCACAGGCACTAAGATTGCTGTGGATGCTTTTCAGTATGGGCTGGTAGAGGGCATCACCAGTTACTTCCTCACACACTTCCATTCAGACCACTATGGAGGCCTGAAGAAGAGCTCTACATTCCCTATCTACTGTAACAGAGTAAGGGCACTTCCCAACTAAAACAGATGCAAGTGGGCCAATGCATGCTGTCAATCAATCAAATGTATTTTATAATTTTGATTGCGGCAGAAATCCCAATAGAGAGTTGGGGCCAAGCAGAGACTGCAAGGGTGGCTTGTCACTCCATTACCTTGCCGTTCACCTTCCCACCCCTGGGCCAGACTCAATCATAGGACTGAATGAAGAGAGAAGTCTTCAGTCTTAACTTAACCACTCTCAAATTCATAGACAGAGCTTTGGATGCAAGGACTGACCATCCATGATACCAAAATTATAGTTTTAACCATGTTTTGAGGCTATATAGTATTTGTTTCATTTACTTTGTTTACAAACATTGGAATAAAACAAGCTTATATTTTGGGTTCTGATGGGGTACAACAGTTGAACTAAGCTCATGAGGCATTTATAAGTTATATTCGTCAATAATCAATGGGTCATAAATGTATAAGTCCAAAAGTTGATGTAGGAACTGCAGATTGCCCCTTTAAAGGGCAGCTGAACTCACTGATTTCGCCTTGGTTTTTGACCTCATTAAGTAAAATGCGATTTGGGTCTTGGGCAGTGGTGGAAAAAGTACCCAATTGTCATACTTGAGTAAAAGTAAAGATACCTTAATAGAAAATGACTCAAGTAAAAGTGAAAGTCATCCAGTACAATACTACTTGAGTAAAAGTCTAAAAGTATGTGGGTTTTAAATATACTTAAGTAAATGTAATTGCTAGAATATACTTAAGTATCAAAAGTAAAAATAGAAATCATATCAAATTCCTTATATTAAGCAAACCAGACGGCACCATTTACTAGTTTTTTTTAATTACAGATAGCCGGGGGCACACTCCAACACTCAGACATCTTTACAAACGAAGCGTTTGTGTTTAATGAGTCCGCCAGATCAGAGGCAGTAGGGATGACCAGGGATGTTCTCTTGATAAGAGCGTGAATTTGACCATTTTCCTATCCTGCTAAGCATTCGAAATGTAATGAGTACTTTAGGGTGTCAGGGAAAATGTATGGAGTAAAAAGTACATAATTTTCTTTAGGAATGTAGTATAGTAAAAGTAAAAGTTGTCAAAAATATAAATAGTAAAGTACAGATACCCCAAAAAAACTACTTAAGTAGTACTTTAAAGTATTTTTACTTACGTACTATACACCACTGGTCTTGGGGGTGTGGTTTGATCAGTGGGTTTGATGTGGGTGAGTTAAGTTCGCTATAGCCTACCGTTGTGTGTTCCTCTTCTCTCACCGTAGTTGAAATAGCCCAAACAGCCACTGTACTTTGGCTAAAGGAATGATAGTTGTGTTTCGGATGCTAACGTTACCTCATGAATGTCAGGATGTTTGAGTTGGGAAAAAACAAGCCGTTTATAAAGAACACGTCTTGTTCTTTCAACCGAACATTGGCGACAATGTATTGTAGGCTAGCTATGTCTCGTTCGTTGTCTCATGTCAATCAAACACATCACCAGGGGCTGCATGCTAATGACTTGATAGGGTAGTCTATAAAGAAATGGATGGGCTGCTGCTATCATTGGATAGCGTACACCAGTAGGCTTCCTGTTGAGGCAAGGGCTGATTTCAAAGTTGTACTTTTAAAGAGGAGCTGAACCAAAAAAACAACTTGTTGAAAACTGCCTATGTGACATCGATAGTAGTCAAAAACATCTATTGTAGTCCCAAAATGTACTAAAAAGTGTAAGAAGGATAATTTTTGTCATAGTCAGTACCTTCCAAAACTGAGATTTGCTGCACACTATCCAATCATAGCAACAATTTAACCTACAGCCCACCCATTTCTTTACAGACAGCAGAACAACCCTATTGAGGCTAGCACTGGAGTAATATAAACTTTTTGGTTCTAGTCAAGATTGTAGCAGCCGTATTCTTCACTAGTTGAAGTTTATTTAGTGCTGTAATCCGGGAAGCTGGAGAGTAGAGCACTTCAGTAGTCTAATCTTGAAGTGACAAGAGCATGGATTCGCTTTTCCACATCGCATTTGGACCAAATGTTATCTGATTTTTACAATGTTACGAAGATGGAAAAAAGCTGCTCTTTAAATATTTGTTATAAATATATGTTGGATCAGAGTCCAGAGTATCGCCAAGGCACGAGGACAGACGCAATGCCACGGTCCAAAGCCATTAAAAGGTTGTTCACCGCCTTCACAAGTGCAGTCTCAGTACAATGATGGTGTCGAAATCCAGATTGGAGCGTTTCGTAGATATTATTTGTCTTCAGGAAGGCAGTGAGTTGCTGTGCATTTTACTGTGGGAGATATTGAGGCAGAATAATGTCAATTGCTTGTATTCAATTTAATTACTTGATGAACAGTCAGGATCTGTTGCATTCAAAGATCAACCTGTGTCTATGTAATGGTAGGGGCTTCACAAGCCAAGGTGGTTCTGTTTTGCTTATTTTCTTACTATAGAAAAATATATATTAATACATACCGTCAGCTTTCTTCATTCAGAATACCTAATCAAATAGGTTTTGGTTGTGAGTCCAAGTTGCTGTTTGCCTGTGTTCAGCCAAGCTCCAGGGGTGAATTAGAAATCACTTTTAAATTGCCTCCCTGTCTACGGTCAGATTATCTACTTTCTCCTAGAAGTGTGCCCATGCTTGCACTAATCCAGCTAAAAACATAATTTAACACTTAACCCTTCTGTTCTGGCAGATATGAAGGAACCGGATAGGTGTAACTCCACCTAGCCTTCCAATGTGCTTAGGAGGAGCTTCTGTCCATATTGATTTCGCCTATGTGGTTCTCTCAGATCTGAAATGATAGTAGATTGGGCATGGTGCTAGTCCGGATTGTGGTGTCCTTGCTAATATGAGCAGCTCAGAATGTAGTGCGGAACAAATGGGAAAGTGGCAGAGATGGTGCTCGAACCCCTGTGGCCAGGAGCTACAGTGCCTTCAGAACGTATTTATACTCCTTGACTTATTCCACATTTTGTTGTTATAGCCTGAATTCAAAATGTATTAAAAAAAAAATAAAAAAATCACCCATCTACACACATTACCCCATAATGACAAAGTGAAAACATATTTGTAGAATTTTTTTGCTAATTTATTGAAAATGAAATACAGAAATATCTCATTTACATAAGTATTCACACCCCTGAGTCAATATTTTTTTTTGTTGATCATTGCTAGACAACCATTTCAGGTCTTGCTATAGATTTTCCAGCAGATTTAAGTCAAAACTGTAACTCGACCACTCATGAACATTCACTGTCTTCTTGGTAAGCAACTCCAGTGTAGATTTGGCCTTGTGTTTTAGGTTATTGTCCTGCTGAAAGGTGAATTCATCTCCCAGTGTCTGGTGGAAAGCAGACTGAATCAGGTATTCCTCTAGGATTTTGCCTGTGCTTAGCTCCATTCCATTTCTTGTTTATCCTGAAAAACTCCCCAGTCTTTAACGATTACAAACATACCCATAACATGATGCAGCCACCGCTATGCTTGAAAATAATATGGAGAGTGGGACTCAGTAATGTGTTGTATTGGATTTGCCCCAAACATAACACTTTGTATTCAGGACAAAAAATTAATTACTTTGCCACATTTATTTGCAGTATTACTTTAGTGCCTTGTTGCAAACAGAATGCATGTTTTGGAATATATTTATTCTGTACAGGCTTCCTTCTTTTCACTCTGTCAATTAAGTTAGTATTGTGGAGTAACTACAATGTTGTTGAACATCCTCAGTTTTCACCTATCACAGCCATTAAACTCTGTAACTGTTTTAAAGTCACCATTGGCCTCATGGTGAAATCCCTGAGTGGTTTCCTTCCTCTCTGGAAACGGAGTTAGGAAGGACGCCTGTATATTTGTAGTGACTGGGTGTATTGATACACTATCCAAAGTGTAATTAATAATATCACCATGCTCAAAGGGATATTCAATGTCTGCTTTTTTTACCCATCTACCAACAGGTGCTCTTCTTTGCGAAGCATTGGAAAACCTCCCTGGTCTTTGTGGTTGAATCTGTGTTTAAAATTCACTGATCGACTGAGGAACCTTAAAGATAATTGTATGTGTGGGGTACAAAGATGAGGTAGTCATTCAGATATCATCATAAACACTATTATTGCACACAGAGTGATTCCATGTAACTTTGTGTGACTTGTTAAGCAAGTTATTACTGCTGAATTTGTTTAGGCTTGCCATAACAAAGTGGTTGAATACTTATTGACTCAATACATTTCAGCTTTTCATTTGTGGAAAACATAATTCCACCTTGACATTGTGAGGTATTGTGTGTAGGCCAGTGACAAAAAAATCTCAATTTAATCCATTTTAAATTCAGACTGTAACACAATAAAATGTGGAATAAGTCAAGGGGTATGAATACATTCTGAAGGCACCGTATATGTAGTCAGACTCCGGCACTGCAGCCCATTTATTGACAGCTCACAGCTGTGCGTCTCCCCAGATCACAGGTAACCTGGTGAAGAGTAAGCTGAGGGTGGCTGAGCAGTACGTCCACATCCTGCCCATGAACACCCAGGTCACTGTGGATGGGTTCAAGGTCACACTGCTTGAGGCCAACCAGTAAGTATCTGAAGAAATCAAAGGGCTTTAAATAGAGTACGAATTGTTGACCCATCTTGACTCTTCTTCCCTATAGTAGTATGAAAAATATGTCATATGGTGAGAATTCCACCCAGCATATCAGAGAGCACAGTGAAACAATTACCATACAGAACCTATCCATTCCTTTCAGATCTACTGGTTTTCTTAGGGGGTAGGGTTCAATTTGGTATTCAGAAATGGTCTTGAGTTGTGATATGTGACCTGGTCCTCTCCTCTCTGCCCATAGCTGTCCAGGAGCTGCCATGCTGTTGCTGTTCCTGCCCGATGGCCAGACTGTGCTTCACACGGGAGACTTCAGAGCTGACCCTTCTATGGAGGCCTACCACGAGCTGCTGAGCTGCCGAGTCCAGACACTCTACCTGGACACCACGTTAGTTTTTTTAAGCTAGGGTTAGGCTAAGGGTAGAGCCGTGGTGTGGACATGAAACTAGGTTTAGGGTTTAAGTTAGGGTTAGGGTTGAGCCGGGGTGTTGACATAAAGGCACTGTTAGGGTTATGGCTAGGGTCAGGGTTGAGTCGGGGTGTGGTCATGAAGCTAGGGTTACGGTTAGGGTTGAGCCGGGGTGTGAACATGAAACTAGGGTTAGGGTTTGAGTTAGGGTTGAGCCAGGGTGTTGAGCTGGGGTGTGGACATGAAGTTAGGGTTATGGCTAGGGTTATGGCTCAATTTAACCACTGCTGTTAAACACCTCTATCTCTAACCATTTCTAGCTACTGCAGTCCTGAATACACCTTCCCCACGCAGCAGGAGGTCATAAACTTTGCGGCCAACACAGCCTTCAAATGTGTGACCCTCAACCCTCGCACTCTGGTGGTGTGTGGCTCCTATTCAGTGGGCAAAGAGAAAGTCTTCTTGGGTGAGTGCTGATTTGAGTGTTTGATCACCTTAAAATAACTTTATTGAGCTACACCAGTGGTCACCAACCTTTTCTGAGTCAAGATTACTTTCGCAGTAAAAAAGGAAGCCGGTATCTACCGCTCAGATTTTTTTTAAAAACATGTTTTATTTTTTTATTAACCTAATAAAAACCGTTCTATAGGAATGAGGTTTGTGCAGTAGGCCTAATACATTATCACAGCATATTGGCTATATGTTTAGCCTGCCAATATTGTTATTCTCAGACCATATTATATTTCAAAACCCAAGTTTGTTAACAAAATACATCAGTTGGTGTAGCACTTGCGAGGCACAGCTGAGCATAAATTGCAAATAATTTGCTTTTTCACTTTACTGGACTGATGGTAGAGATGCATCTGATGGTTATGGTGCTTTCAAAACAACTGGGAACTCAAGAAAAAAAAAGTTTACGACTTGGAATTCAGAGTTGGATGACAGTTCAAAACTATTTTTCCCAGTCTTCCCAGTTGTTTTGAACGCTCGGGAAGTCAGAGATTTCCGAAATCGCAGTTGTTTTTTCCTAGTTCCCAGTCTCAGCGGAGGGAGGGAGAGGGCAGCAGAGGGTTTGCCTCTCACGGTCCCTGCTCTCTCCTTCCTTTCCTCCGGTGAGACTGACCAGAAAGATGGGACACAGTCTTTCACCTGATGGCGAAACTCAAGTCGCACCGCATCTGCATCTGCTACATGCACAAATTGATGTTGTTCCTATGATCAGAGAAAGTGAAATATTCCTGATATTAAAATAGATCTAGTCCTGCTTTGTCGCATTTCATGAAGGCTCTATGCCAGTGATTCTCAACTGGGGGGTCGCGACCGGGAGGATTTTAAGGGGTCGCAGGACTTGTGCAAAAATAATAATACAAATAAAACGTATTTTGAAAGGTAACCGCTGCACCGCTTATTGTTGCTGACTTTACACGTGCAGTGCGTCCGCCGCAGTGGTGAAATGGCTAGCTACATTCGGACTCTGAGGGTTTTCGCGCTGCACTCACACACTGACCAATACAATAACGTTCTCGCCCTACACACACACACACACACACACTGATCTAATGAAATGACAGATTTCTCCACACACACACAGTGATCCAATAAAAATGTCATTTTGCAACATTGTTTTGTTTTAAATCTGACACGTCCAATCAGATAATACAGATCTTCTTCTGACAGCTAGCTTAATTGACAGCTAACTATGCAGATGTGTTCTGCAGGCATTGCACATGTGGATAGTTAGCGTCATTTAAGTTATGTAGGCTAGCTGTCAGAGTAAACTCATGGACAAGTTTTTAAAACGGGCAGCTCCCTCTTCATCTACTGCTGCTTCCAGTGTCAACAACAAGGCAGAGAACCCGGTCCCTGTCAGGAAGAGAAAATACCACCCAAATATGGTTTTACATAGGGTGCATTCGTAAATTCGCTCTGGCTATCTATTCCGATTTCAGAGCACTCTCATCTGAGTGTGCCAAAGCGCAGAATAACTGATTAATTTTACGAACACACCCATGTATAGAAGACAGTCAGGGTGAGTGGAGGCCGTAGTGCGTCCTATGCAACGAGCTGTTAGCTAATGAGAGCATGAAACCCTCCAACTTACAGTCATACGTATGCACGTATGACTGTAAGTCGCTTTGGATAAAAGCGTCTGCTAAATGGCATATTATTATTATTATTATATGAAAAGTCATCTTGGCACCAAGCATCCAAGCCACAATACCAATACAGCTGACTTTTTTAAAACAAAATGTCAATATCTGGAGGCCTCACAAGATTCATTGAACGAGGTATGCACGGTACAAGAAAAGGCACTTCGCGAATCATACCTTGTGGCCCAGCGCTTTGTTAAGTGCAAAAAAGCCCACACCAGCGCAGAGAATCTCATACTCCCTGCTGCGATTGATATGTGCACTGAAATCTTGGGAGAGTCAGCCGCCAACAAACTTAAAACCATACCCCTATCCAATGACACCATGAGGAGGAGAATCCAGGACATGTCTGAGGACATAACGCACCAGACATCAGAGCGCATCAGTGCAAATGGCCATTACGCACTGCAGCTTGATGAATCCACAGATGTGGCTAACCATGCAATTCTAATGGTCTATGTCAGACACATCTGGGATAATAACTTCGCGGAGCAGTTCTTTTTTTAGTGCTGATTTGCCCACCACCAACACTGCAGAGCCTGTCTTTAACACAATGGATATGTACCTGGGCTCCGTGGGACTGGCCTGGGATGGGTGTGTAGGTGTGACCACTGATGGGGCAGCTGCCATGATGGGAAAGCACTCCGGGGTAGTAAAGCGGGTCCTGGAGAGAGCACCGAGTGCAACGTGGAACCACTGCTTCCTACACAGGGAGGCATTGACAGCGAAGGACATGGTGCCTGAGCTCCACGCCACTCTCCAGGATGTGATCAAGTGTGTCAACTATATCAAAAAGAGTTCCACAAAAAGCAGGTGTTTCCAGGCCTTCTTTAGGGATATGGGATACCAGCAGGTGCTTTATCATGCAGAGGTCCTCTTAAAGGGAGTGCTCCTAATCTCAGCTTGTTACCTGTATAAATGACACCTGTCCACAGAGGCAATCAATCAATCAGATTCCAAACTCTCCACCATGGCCAAGACTAAAGAGCTCTCCAAGGATGTCAGGGACAAGATTGTAGACCTACACAAGGCTGGAATGGGCTACAAGACCATCGCCAAGCAGCTTGGTGAAAAGGTGACAACAGTTGGTGCGATTATTCGCAAATGGAAGAAACACAAAAGAGCTGTCAATCTCCCTCGGCCTGGGGCTCGATGCAAGATCTCACCTCGTGGAGTTGCAATGATCATGAGAACGGTGAGGAATCAGCCCAGAACTACACAGGAGGATCTTGTCAATGATCTCAAGGCAGCTGGGACCATAGTCACCAAGAAAACAATTGGTAACACACTACTCCGTGAAGGACTGAAATCCTGCAGCGCCCGCAAGGTCCCCCTGCTCAAGAAAGCACATATACATGCCCGTCTGAAGTCTGCCAATGAACATCTGAATGATTCAGAGGAGAACTGGGTGAAAGTGTTGTGGTCAGATGAGACCAAAATGGAGCTCTTTGGCATCAACTCAACTCGCCGTGTTTGGAGGAGGAGGAATGCTGCCTATGACCCCAAGAACACCATCCCCACCGTCAAACATGGAGGTGGAAACATTATGCTTTGGGGGTGTTTTTCTGCTAAGGGGACAGGACAACTTCACCGCATCAAAGGGACGATGGACGGGGCCATGTGCCGTCAAATCTTGGGTGAGAACCGCCTTCCCTCAGCCAGGGCATTGAAAATGGGTCGTGGATGGGTATTCCAGCATGACAATGACCCAAAACACACGGCCAAGGCAACAAAGGAGTGGCTCAAGAAGAAGCACATTAAGGTCCTGGAGTGGCCTAGCCAGTCTCCAGACCTTAATCCCATAGAAAATCTGTGGCCAGCAACGAGCCCAGATCTCAATCCCATTGAACACGTCTGAGACCTGTTGGATCGGAGGGTGAGGGCTAGGGCCATTCCCCCCAGAAATGTCCAGGAACTTGCAGGTGCCTTGGTGGAAGAGTGGGGTAACATCTCACAGCAATAACTGGCAAATCTGGTGCAGTCCATGAGGAGGAGATGCACTGTAGTACTTAATGCAGCAGGTGGCCACACCAGATACTGACAGTTACTTTTGATTTTGAACCCCCCTTTGTTCAGGGACACATTGTTCCATTTCTGTTAGTCACATGTCTGTGGAACTTGTTCAGTTTATGTCTCAGTTGTTGAATCTTGTTATGTTCATACAAATATTTACACATGTTAAGTTTTCTGAAAATAAACGCAGTTGACAGTGAGAGGACGTTTCTTTTTTTGCTGAGTTAAATGTATTTGGATATCTGAATGTCTAGCATCTGTTTGATGCTACAGAGCCCTGTACAGCTTATATAAATATATTCTGTGAAGCCATAAGGGAAGACAAATTTTGAAGATTGATAGAAAATATCCATATTTATTTTATGGGGGTTCTACATCAAGCCCTGTTCCTGGAGAGCTACCGTCATGTAGGTTTTCACTCCAACCCTAATCTAGCACACCTGATTCTAATAATTAGCTGCGTTTACACAGGCATCCCAATTCTGATATTTCTTCCACTAATTGGTCTTATTCATATCAGATCTTTTTCAGAACTGATCTGATTTGTCAAAAGACCAATAAGGAAAAAAATATTAGAATTGGGCTGGCTGTGTAAACGCAGCCACAGTCTTTAATCCGGCTTCGGTACACTGGCAATGGTGGGCTGGGGAAGCTGAGACTCTTTGATCTTATGGCGATGGGCTTGACCTGTCTGCGGTGAACGGCCAGCTGGAAAAGACTCTGCAGAAAGTCTTAACCACCAACTGTTTGGTCCAGAATATTTGCTCCTGGATTTTGGGTTTTTCAGCAGGGCACTGTGGAATGACTCCAGATAATCTGAGTTTTACAAAAAGAAAAGGTAAAAAGAGAGGGGTGGATTAAATTGATTACATAGTCTGGAAGGTACTCTTTGGTCCTTAGGCTACCTCTGACCACCTGTAACCCCATAACACAAACACTACCCAATTCATGTTTATACCATTGAGCTATTTTAGCCGTCAGCTTGTAAATATTTTGGCCAATTTACCTTCACCTTGTGCAGAGCTAGGGGTTGGAAGTGCATGTTCGTGGAATCAGATACTGTACCACCTACAACAAAATAAACAACAATACACATTAATTGGTCCAAAATTGGAACACTTTGCCTACCCCCTGCGCAGGGCTTCTGAATTGCGATCGACCGGTTGGTGACCACTGAGCTACACAATCAATTTGAGACACTTTGGGATGATTTGGACATGAACTGCGAACAATGCTACAATTGACTTGCATTGGATGTTTGACAAAGATGCTTTGTGTAGAGCTTAAGGGACAGTGTGGCCATTGACCATTTAACAAGCCACTTTCAAGATTTTAATCTTGGGTAGCCAACTGAACTACTAGAAGTAGAATCCAACAATACCCATCATGAATCGGTGAATAAAAATTGGCTATACTCTTTGTATATATGACTCTGGCTTAGCCCTGTTTAACTGTCTTACTCTGTCCTGTCCATAGCTCTGGCAGAGGTACTGGGCTCCAAAGTTTGCCTGTCCCGGGACAAGTTCAACAACATGTGCTGTCTGGAGTCAGAGCGCATCCGCCAGCTTATCACCACTGACTGGAAGGCCGCCCAGGTCCACGTGCTACCCATGATGCATCTCAACTTCAAAGTGGGTCCTGTAGTGGTTTTTACAGTTCCTATATGTCAAAAGTGCTTAAAGGTAGACTCAGCAAGATACAATTCTCCTACAAAGCAGGGCAGCATCATCCTCACAGAAATGCAACAAAATTCAAACTGCCACAATTGTCTCTTCCCAATGTTGGCATGTTTCAAGGGAGGGCATACATTGTAAAAAAAAAAAAGACAATAGTGGAAGTCTTGACAGATTTTAATTATGTTGTTGTTGTTCGTAATCAGGTAATCACCCTGCTGTGTATATTGCTGAGTCTACCTTAAACAACAACCACTTTTGTGGTGTCCATATAGCAAAATAACATGATACGGTTAAAAACTAAATAAATAGAAAACTCGCTACACAAGGCAAGCTTTGCGTATAGTTTTTTACATTCAGAAAAATAGAGAAATTATTACTCTTATTCTTCATTGTAGCAGTCACTCTGCAAACAACCTTATCAAGTTCAGCGTACGGTGTGTATGCAAAGGGCGGAAGTTAGAATAATAAGATGCTAATTACAGTGACCAACTGCAAGCACAGCATCTAATTCACAAAGACTAAAACATTTCAGCTGCCGTCCTCAATACACCAGATGATACTCGAAGCGAGCATAACACAAGCCAGATCCATTACCAAACACTTTCCACATAAGTGCTCATTCAAAACTAAACCGTTATAAATAAAAATCCCTGTACTGCATAAGAGCATATAATTGAAATACCCTGGACAAAGTTTTAAAAAATCAATCTAAATTCCATCATTCCCATCTAAAAATGCCACCCAAAATAGAATTTGAGAAGCTTTTGAAAATGTTTATTTTATTTTGAGATTCCTTTATATTTTCATGAGTATTTATACAATAATGAGAAATGTCATGAGGCAGAGGGATGTTGATATTGAAAAATCATTTCATGTTTTACTGCTTTAGATTGACACATTCAAAATCATTCAAAATTAATTTGCTGCTTTACAAGTTGTAAAATATAATTAATTTGAATTGCTTCTATATTCTTTTAGGTGACTTAAAGCAGAAATCTGCAGGTCGTGGGCGACCCTATGACGCCCCACTTCTTGTGTAGTGTTTACTTTGAACGAAAACAAGGGGGTTGAGCCCTGAGCCGCCTTGGACGGCCTTCTGGGTAAGGTGCGTCTGCGCTAATCACGCCTACTCTAATGACCCTGCTGCCCCGGAGCTGGAGAGGAAGTGAAAGTCACTTGCAACCTAACGTTACAGCTGCCAGAAACAAACAGAGAAGACGAAGCCAACAAATGTAATTCTTGGATCTGAATCAACTCAACCCCAAAAGAAAAAAAAGGCTAGAAAAAGACTGCTCATGGCCAATCCAGAAACCGGATTAACATTGGAATTAATTTTGAAAGGTGGAAGAGTGACGAAGAAATGGCCACAGTTGTCATGGATTGGTAACGTTAGGTAAGTGTTGGGTTGCGTTTTTAGCCTGCTAGCAACGTTAGCTGCTAACCTTAGTGTGTTCAATGTTCAAGCAAGCTAACACGGCTACATACCTAGCTAACATATTTTGTATTCGGACTGTTTTGTACTCAAAGGAATCTAATGATAGCATCATGTAGCTACACTGCATAAACTCCACCAATCTCTCCCTGAGAAATACATGTGTGTGTGATGTTACTGTACCGAATTTTATATACTTTTTTGGGGGTGGTCCTGGGCCGAAAATGCTTTCGACCACCTAGCTAGCTGTTATTATCATCAACAAACTAAACACGCCATCATGTCAACAATCTGCATTTCTAGCTTTAGCTAGCTAACGTTGGCTAGTTGAAATAAAGGCATTGGGCATCTTGTGGGGTTTATGCAGTGTAGCTACTGTACATGATGCTATCGTTAGATTCCTTTGAGTTCAAAACAGTCTGAATATAGAATGTTATATTTCTCTCGATTATTTTTCTCTCTGGGTCGAGTTAATTCAGATCCAAGAACTGAGAATGATGCTTGTTGGCTTTGTCTGCTCGGTTTGTTTCTGGCAGTTGTAACGTTCGTTTGCAAGTGACTTTCACTTACTCTCCAGCTCCGGGGCAACAGGGTCATTAGAGTAGGAAGGATTAGCACAAAGACGCACCTTGCCCAGAAGGCCAGCCCAGGCGGTTCAGGGCTCAACCCCCTTGTTTTCGTTCAAAGTGAAAACACTACACAAGAAATGGGGCGGTATAGGGTCGCCCACGACCTGCGGATTCCTGCGGATTCCTGCTTTAACACTTTCATTGTGTTTTTGGTGTTTCTGTGCATTTGATCTAGTGTGGGGGTAGGCAATCATAGTGCCAGACCCTGGAATGCCAAACGCACTTAGGTTTTCTTGTAAACTATTTAGCTTTAGACCACCTGGGAGACCAAGTTGATGTAATTCAGCCAATCACTGATATTGATCAATTGGCATGGTAAGTAAAGTCGTGTTATTATTATAAGAAGAAGAAGAAGAACTGAGGTACTCAAAGCGCTTTACATAGTAGGAGGAAACTAACCTCATCCACCACCAATTTGTAGAACCTACCTGGGTGATGCACGGCGACCATTTTGTGCCAGAACACTCGTCGAGCTATCAAGTGGAGAGGTGAGGAGTGATATACAGTGCATTGTGAAAGTTTTCAGACCCCTTGACTTTTGCACATTTTGTTATGTTACAGCCTTATTCTAAAATGGATTCAATTACATTTCTCCCTCATCAATCTACACACAATACCCCATAATAACAAAGCGAAAACAGGTTTTTAGAAATGTTAGCAAATGTATAAAAATAAAGAAAACTGATTACATAAGTATTCATACCTTTTGCTATGAGACTCGAAATTGAGCTCAGGTGCATCCTGTTTCCACTGATCAACCTTGAGATGTTTCTACAACTTAATTGGAGTCCACCTGGGGTAAATTAAATTGATTGGACAGGATTTGGAAAGGCACACACCTGTTTATATAAGGTCCCAGAATTGACAGTGCATGTCAGAGCAAAAACCAAGCCATGAGGTGGAAGGAATTGACCGTAGAGCTCCGAGACAGGATTGGGTTGAGGCACAGCTCTGGGGAAGGCTACCAAAAAATGTGTGTAGCATTGAAGGTCCCCAAGAACACAGTGGCCTCCATCATTCTTAAATGGAAGAAGTTTGGAACAACCAAGTCTCTTACTAGAGCTGGCCTCCCGGCCAAACTGAACAATCAGGGGAGAAGGGCCTTGGTCAGGGAGTTGACCAAGAAACCCGCTGGTCACTCAGAGTTCCACTGTGGAGATGGGAGAACCTTCCAGAAGGACAACCATCTCTGCAGCACTCCACCAATCAGGCCTTTATGGTAGTGGCCAGAAGGAAGCCACTCCTCAGTAAAAGGAACATGACAGCTTGGAGTTTGCCAAAAGGCACCTAAAGGACTCTCAGACCTTGAGAAACATGATTCTCTGGTCTGAAGAAAGACCAAGATTGAACTATTTGGCCTGAATGCCAAGCGTCACATCTTTGAGGAAACCTGGCAACATCCCTACGGTGAAGCGTGGTGGCAGCATCATGCTGTGGGGATGTTTTTCAGCGGCAGGGACTGGGAGACTAGTCAGGATCGAGGGAAAGATGAACGGAGCAAAATACAGAGAGATCCTTGATGAAAACCTGCTCCAGAGTGCTCAGGACCTCAGACTGGGGGCGAAGGTTCACCTTCCAACAGGACAACGACCCTAAGCACACAGCCAAGACATCGCAGTAGTGGCTTCGGGACAAGTCTCTGAATGTCCTTGAGTGGCCCGGACTTGAACCCGATTTGAATATCTCTGGAGAGACCTGAAAATAGCTGTGCAGCGACGCTCCCCATCCAACCAGACAGCGCTTGAGAGGATCTGCAGAGAAGAACGGGAGAAAATCCCCAAATACAGGTGTGCCATGCTTGCAGCGTCATACCCAAGAAGACTTGAGGCTGTAATCGCTGCCAAAGGTGCTTCAACAAAGTACTGAGTAAAGGGTCTGAATACTTATGTAAATGTATAGTTCTTTTTTTTTTTTTTTTTTTTTTTTTTGGTGCAAACATTTCTAAAACCTGTTTTTGCTTTGTCATTATGGGGTATTGTGTGTAGATTGATGATATATACATATATATATATATTTAATCCATTTTAGAATAAGGCTGTAACATAACAAAATGTGGAAAAAGTTAATGGGTCTGAATACTTTCCGGCTGATTAGGTGGCTATGATGGAATGGGGCCAGGTTGGGAGATTAGCCATTACACCGGGGCAAACACCCCTACTTACCTAGTTAAATAAAGGTTAAATAAAATAAAATACTCTTATGATGAGTGCCATGGGATTTTTGAATGACCACAGAGTTTAACATCACATCCGAAAGACGGCACTCTACGCAGGGCAATGTCCCCTTCACTGCCCCGGGGCATTGGGATCTCCCCAGAGAGAAGAGTGCCCCCTACCTGCACTCCAACACCACTTCCAGCAGCATCTGGTCTCCCATCCAGGGACTGGCCAGGACCAACCCTGTTTAGCTTCAGAGGCAAGCCAGCAGTGGGAATGCAGGGTGGTATGCCGCTGGTTGGGATTAAACTCTGGAGTACATGTGGCATTACAGGACTAGCCCTTTACCCCTGCACTAGTGGAAAGTTTGCACCTGATATAATACAACATTTCAAAATATAAAGGGTGGGGCTAAGAGTATGACGAACACTAGGTCACATGTCGGTAGTGCCGTTTTGGCTTTGGTTTTCATTCGTCTCAGAAAAGAACAGCCTCAAACTATCTGTCCACTCCTCACAATGACTAAACCAAGGAACTCCCATGTCCTTTTTTCCTTTCCAGAACCTGCAGGCTCATCTGAGTAGGTTCTCGAGGCAGTACGACCAGCTGGTAGCCTTCAAGCCCACAGGCTGGACCTTTAGTCAGAGGGTGGAGGCTGTGGAGGATATCAAGCCTAAGGTCCATGGCAACATCAGCATCTATGGTACAGCCCAATTCCTACTACCTACTACTATCTATAGCAGGTGTGCTCAGATCTGTTCCTCGAGGCCCAGAGCACTGCTGGTTTTGGTCCTAGACATGAAATTTAAAGCATGCTAACTGGGAGACATTGACTGACATTAGCCTTGTCATGCCTACTACTTACTAAAACGTCATACTGTGTTCGAATCATACTACATACGATTTAGAAGGTACTGTTTTAGTAAAAATGTATACAGTAAGCAACAAATATCAACATGCTAGGCTCACCCATTATGTGAATGCGTCATCTAATGCACAATTGTGCTGTTTCCATCCTTCCGTTCATTTTGGTGTAGCATCCCCTGAGCTAATTGTCAGCTGTTGTCAATCACACACAGTCTGAAAAAACGATTATCTTCCTCAGTAGCATGCAGCGAATTATACTTGATGAAAAGCCGGAATGAGTATGACATCCAGGCATTTAAAGGGATAGTGCGAGATTCTGGCAATTAATTAACTAATGGATACCATTTTTATGTCTCTGCGTCCAGTATGAAGGAAGTTTAGAGGTAGTTTCGTGAGCCAATGACTGGAAGTCTACCGGTACAGCTAGCTAGCATTAGCTCGCAAAACTACCTTTAACTTCCTTCAAACTGCACACTGAGACATAGAAATGGTATCCATGAGTTCATCTCACTCTGGGTAAATAGAATTACCAGAATCTCGCACTATCCCATCAGAAACTGATGAAACCATGTGTGTGCACATGAACTGATAAATTAAGTCCCAGGAGAAGAACTAGTAGGGAGGAAAACCCTAGCAGGACTACGAAACTAAAGGACCTGAGCACCCCTGATCTATGGTATAGGACTCTACCTATGGCACTGTGCTCAGTATGATAATGATGACATGGTAATTTAGCAGACTCTTTTATCCAAGGCAGCTTACAGTTAAGACATCAAATAACTATAGGGATGACATCACCATACTCCAACCACTGAACTATCTGATACCTGATTCACAACCTGGCTCAGATATTTTCTTTTCACATTGTCTTTTTCAGCACGGGTCCAGCAACTATCATTTACATTTTAGATTTTAGTCATTTAGCAGACGCTCTTATCCAGAGCGACTTACTGGAGCAATTAGGGTTAAGTGCCTTGCTCAAGGGCGCATCGACAGATTTTTCACCTAGTAGGCTCGAGGATTAGAACCAGTGACCTTTCGGTTACTGGCACAACGCTCTAAACCACTAAGCTACCTGCCGCCCCATGGTGGATGCATAACCAGGCTGATTTTTGGCAATGGTCTTTGGCAAATCTTTTCACACATCCATAATAGAGATTAACACTGGGAACCGGGATTCCGAGATTTTCACACATGCTCCTTCCCGAGGAAAAAAATGACGGGATCTCAGGAACAATAATATACTATTTCTATGCAAAAATACAAAATATGCATGTGCGAACTATCTGGCTTTATTCACACATTAGACCAGTGATCACAACGCTCACTAATAGAAAACATCACTTGTGTCGCTTATAACTTGCATTGTGCATTGACTATCATGAAACTATAGCAGGCTATATGTGACCTCTACGCAGTTAGGTAGGCAATCTCACATTGATAAATCTCCAAACTTGAGCTGTGTGGCACTGGCAAGGGCTTGAAAATATAAACTGTGGCTACGCACTGTTAACAAAATGGCTGATACATTGTGTCTGCAAAAGCGCTGGAGGAAATAGACTTTTGCAACATGTTCCATGATGTTACACTAACAAATGCGAGAGCACAGGCTTGACTATGAAGTCAGATTCGTGGGGAATTTATCAACCGTGGTGCTGAGTCTCCGCTTTTGCCTCTATTTGCTTATTTGTTTAGCGCAGCATCGGATATGTTCCCTGTGGCTACTATCCTGCAGCTGAGTGACTCATCCACGCCTTTATTTCATCCCATTTGAACTATTGTAACACCCTTTTTGTTGGCGCATATGTGCCTAGATGTGCAGCACAGTTCTGGACATATTGTAGCCTGTGTCCTCACCCACACCTCCCCCCGCGAGCACATCACTCCAGTGCTTCTCAACCTACACTGGCTCCCCATATGCGCACACATCGACTACAAAATCCTGGTTCAAACGTACCAAGCTAGCCACAACTCTGGACCCAAGTACCTGTCTGACCTCATTCTACCCTCCTGCCCCACACGTACCCTTCTCCTCCAGGTCCGTCTCCCTTCAGCAGCCCCGCAGCAGACTAAAAACTATGGGTGACAGGGCTTTCAGTTCCGCGGCTGTGGAACGTACTTCCAGACACTAATAGGGCTGTGGAGTCTCTGTCATCCTTTAAGGCACAGCTCAAGAACGTGCTGTTCAGAAAAGCTTTCATGGACCTCTGCTAATGACGACACCTGTATATACAGTGGGGAAAAAAAGTATTTAGTCAGCCACCAATTGTGCAAGTTCTCCCACTTAAAAAGATGAGAGGCCTGTAATTTTCATCAGAGGTACACGTCAACTATGACAGACAAAATGAGAAAAGAAATTCCAGAAAATCACATTGTAGGATTTTTAATGAATTTATTTGCAAATTATAATGGTGGAAAATTATTATGGTGGAAAATAAGTATTTGGTCAATAACAAAAGTTTCTCAATACTTTGTTATATACCCTTTGTTGGCAATGACACAGGTCAAACGTTTCTGTAAGTCTTCACAAGGTTTTCACACACTGTTGCTGGTATTTTTGGCCATTCTTCCATGCAGATCTCCTCTAGAGCAGTGATGTTTTGGGGCTGTCGCTGGGCAACACAGACTTTCAACTCCCTCCAAAGATTTTCTATGGGGTTGAGATCTGGAGACTGGCTAGGCCACTCCAGGACCTTGAAATGCTTCTTACGATGCCACTCCTTCGTTGCCCGGGCGGTGTGTTTGGGATCATTGTCATGCTGAAAGACCCAGCCACGTTTCATCTTCAATGCCCTTGCTGATGGAAGGAGGTTTTCACTCAAAATCTCACGATACTTGGCCCCATTCATTCTTTCCTTTACATGGATCAGTCGTCCTGGTCCCTTTGCAGAAAAACAGCCCCAAAGCATGATGTTTCCACCCCCATGCTTCACAGTAGGTATGGTGTTCTTTGGATGCAACTCAGCATTCTTTGTCCTCCAAACACGACAAGTTGAGTTTTTACCAAAAAGTTATATTTTGGTTTCATCTGACCATATGACATTCTCCCAATCCTCTTCTGGATCATCCAAATGCACTCTAGCAAACTTCAGACGGGCCTGGACATGTACTGGCTTAAGCAGGGGGACACGTCTGGCACTGCAGGATTTGAGTCCCTGGCGGGGTAGTGTGTTACTGATGGTAGGCTTTGTTACTTTGGTCCCAGCTCTCTGCAGGTCATTCACTAGGTCCCCCCGTGTGGTTCTGGGATTTTTGCTCACCGTTCTTGTGATAATTTTGACCCCACGGGGTGAGATCTTGCGTGGAGCCCCAGATCGAGGGAGATTATCAGTGGTCTTGTATATCTTCCATTTCCTAATAATTGCTCCCACAGTTGATTTCTTCAAACCAAGCTGCTTACCTATTGCAGATTCAGTCTTCCCAGGCTGGTGCAGGTCTACAATTTTGTTTCTGGTGTTCTTTGACAGCTCTTTGGTCTTGGCCATAGTGGAGTTTGGAGTGTGACTGTTTGAGGTTGTGGACAGGTGTCTTTTATACTGATAACAAGTTCAAACAGGTGCCAATAATACAGGTAACGAGTGGAGGACAGAGGAGCCTCTTAAAGAAGAAGTTACAGGTCTGTGAGAGCCAGAAATCTTGCTTGTTTGTAGGTGACCAAATACTTATTTTCCACCATAATTTGCAAATAAATTCATAGAAAATCCTACAATGTGATTTTCTGGATTTCTTTTCCTCAATTTGTCTGTCATAGTTGACATGTACCTATGATGAAAATTACAGGCCTCTCTCATCTTTTTAAGTGGGAGAACTTGCACAATTGGTGGCTGACTAAATACTTTTTTTCCCCACTGTAGCTTTGATTGTTGTCTGTGTTTGATGTTCTGGATTATGTCTTTTTTTTCGCCTTGGGTGTGAGAAAAGCGCTTTACAAATTAAATGTATTATTATTATTATCATTATTATTATTGACTCTAAAAAGAACGAGGACAAGTGCAGAGCAGACCATCAAGAAATAATCTTATTTGTATGCCTAGCAATCACAAATGGACATTATTTGAAACACACGTGTTTGTGATTGCTAGGTATACAAATAAGATTTCTTGATACTGCCTTTGAAACAAGGTCTAGTTCCGGACTAGATTGCGAACGACTCTTGGCGGAATGCAATTGCTTGACTGCTGCGAGGCATGGGGTGATCACATTGGCTGGTGATGATAATTTTTTCTAGTCTCAGTCACAAATGACAGCTCCAATAAGCCCCTTATGGTGAACAAAAGGCTTGTAGAATCATGATTCTTTCAAGTTTTTACAGTGAGGGGAAAAAAGTATTTGATCCCCTGCTGATTTTGTACATTTGCCCACTGACAAAGACATGATCAGTCTATAATTTTAATGGTAAGTTTATTTGAACAGTGAGAGACAGAATAACAACAACAAAATCCAGAAAAACGCATGTCAAAAATGTGATAAATTGATTTGCATTTTAATGAGGGAAATAAGTATTTGACCCCTCTGCAAAACATGATTTAGTACTTGGTGGCAAAACCCTTGTTGGCAATCAGAGGTCAGACGTTTCTTGTAGTTGGCCACCAGGTTTGCACACATCTCAGGAGGGATTTTGTCCCACTCCTCTTTGCAGATCTTCTCCAAGTCATTAAGGTTTTGAGGCTGACATTTGGCAACATGAACCTTCAGCTCCCTCCACAGATTTTCTATGGGATTAAGGTCTGGAGACTGGCTAGGCCCCTCCAGGACCTTAATGTGCTTCTTCTTGAGCCACTCCTTTGTTGCCTTGGCCGTGTGTTTTGGGTGATTGTCATGCTGGAATACCCATCCACGACTCATTTTCAATGCCCTGGCTGAGGGAAGGAGAATCTCACCCAAGATTTGACGGTACATGGCCCCGTCCATCGTCCCTTCGATGCGGTGAAGTTGTCCGGTCCCCTAAGCAGAAAAACACCCCCAAAGCATAATGTTTCCACCTCCATGTTTGACGATGGGGGTGGTGTTCTTGGGGTCATAGGCAGCATTCCTCCTCCTCCAAACACAGCGAGTTGAGTTGATGCCAAAGAGCTCGAATTTGGTCTCATCTGACCACAACACTTTCACCCAGTTCTCCTCTGAATCTTTCAGATGTTCATTGGCAAACTTCAGACGGGCCTGTATATGTGCTTTCTTGAGCAGGGGGACCTTGCGGGAGCTGCAGGATTTCAGTCCTTCACGGCGTAGTGTGTTACCAATTGTTTTCTTGGTGACTATGGTCCCAGCTGCCTTGAGATCATTGACAAGATCCTCCCATGTAGTTCTGGGCTGATTCCTCAACGTTCTCATGATCATTGCAACTCCACGAGGTGAGATCTTGCATGGAGCCCCAGGCCGAGGGAGATTGACAGTTATTTTATGTTTCTTCCATTTGCGAATAATCGCACCAACTGTTATCACCTTCTCACCAAGCTGCTTGGCGATGGTCTTGTTGCCCATTCCAGCCTTGTGTAGGTCTACAATCTTGTCCCTGACATCCTTGGAGAGCTCTTTGGTCTTGGCCATGGTGGAGAGTTTGGAATCTGCTTGATTGATTGCTTCTGTGGACAGGTGTCTTTTATACAGGTAACAAGCTGAGATTAGGAGCACTCCCTTTAAGAGTGTGCTCCTATTCTCAGCTCGTTACCTGTATAAAAGACACCTGGTAGCCAGAAATCTTTCTGATTGAGAGGGGGTAAAATTCTTATTTCCGTCATTAAAATGCAAATCAATTTATAACATTTTTGACATGCCTTTTTCTGGATTTTTTTGTTGTTATTCTGTATCTCACTGTTCAAATAAACCTACCATTAAAATGATAGACTGATAATTTCTTTGTCAGTGGGCAAACGTACAAAATCAGCAGGGGATCAAACATTTTTTTCCCTCACTGTAGTTCCTCTTTCACCAGTAGGGGGTCCTGCATGCTCTGGGCATTACTGAATCAAATAAACAAAATGTGTCAAAATATTTGTTCTTTTGACTGAACGAGTTGAAAAGATCAGGGTCAGTAAAAAGAGCCGAACTTCCCATCACTACAATACTGATAGGATCGAAAGAAAGACAGCGCCTCTCTCGGATCAACTCGGTCACAGAGAGACAAATAAACATATTGATACTTTGTTTAGCACAGATCTTCTGTGTATAAAGTGACTCACGCGGAAAGGCAAAAAAAGCACCTAATGATGCACTTACATGCTGACCACACCGATCGGGTCGCAAAATAAATGTAGACATACGTTATTCAATCATTGCACCCACACTGCTCGCGTGCATCAACGAGCATCTGCAAGTCCCGCCTCTCCCATCTCTGCGCTGCAAGTCCCGCCTCTCCCATCTCCTCATTGGTTTTTAGGAACATATACCCCCGTGGGTGGTTGAAAGATTAACTGAGGTCCACACTCCAGTCCAGTTGGTGGTGGTGGTAATGCACCTTAAAGTTGGTTGCCAATCGCCATATAAAGTCAGAAGAAGAAGCCTGAAGGAGGAGAGATTTACTAGAAACTAACTCGGTTTACCCTTTTATCTGTGGATTAGTTGTCAGAGTAGAGGACCTTGTGCATTTCAGGTAAAATAACAATCCAATGTTCATATCCCAGGACAAATTAGTTAGCAACAGCAATCTAGCTAAATTGACATAAATGTTTAATGCTTTTCGACCTGTCCCCAAATTAATATAGTTGGTTCAGAATTCATTTTGATATTTCAACCTGCGTGTCCTGATCGCGTCTGGTGTGGGTGGACAAAATCAACATGCGATGGCGAGTGGTCTGAGGCAGTCGATAAATAACAAGCGTTTTCAAGTGCAACTTTAGTTACGATGATTTTGACAAAAACAGCCCAGAGATTTAACATTGCTACTATGAAGGGCCTAACGATGAACTTAGCCTTAAAATGCTTTTGGGAAACCAGGTCCTGGTGCGTAATTTCACAAGAGAACAGTGAGAGAGAGTCTATACATCTCTAGCCTAAGTTAAATGCTTATGCATATCAACCCATCGGTTATTAGCTAAATATAAGGTCTAATACTGCAGTGAATTTACTACCTGTGCTATCTATGCAAGACAGCAAACAACTCTTCGCCAGTGTCCAGTTTACCCATGTCAAGTGGTTACACATTGACGCACGCAATTGATACAAAATGTGGAGTCAGCATTTAACCACCTGCTTTACTAAAATGGATCAACGGCTGATCATTATCAGGACAATATCATTTATATTTTATTGGTTTCATCTTTATCATCGCTATTGCACTACAAAAGTCTCTCTCTCCCTTCAGACTTCACCCATCAATAATTTTGATATTATCCTGTAGGCTACAGGCAACTTTTTAAGTCTTTTTAAAACAGCACATCTACATATAAGCTAGGCCTACTGCAGATCATTTGTGACCCACCACCTGGATTCGGTCCTATGTAGCAACATTTGAAGTGGTGTTTTTTACATTGGATAAAAGTAGAGACTCCACGCAAAAAAATTGTATATCATACACTGCAGTTGAGGAACAATGAGAAAGTAATTCTGCTTTGAAAGTTGATAAACTTGTAACTCCACTTTTGAGAAAATGCCACGTGAATGTTTTGGTACACCTACTGGAGAGCTCTTCTTTGTCTACACCCATTCAGCATCGTTCACACCCTCTTAAGCCTTAACCCCACCCATATCTTTAAGGATTCAAAGTGTAGTAAACAACCAAAGTGGTGAAAGTAGTAGCAAAAATGTGTAGTAAAAATAAACTTTATCTAGTCCTTGGCCTATATCCTAATCTGATTTTGGTGCAGGTCATGTTGTTCTTCACATTACCGTCTCTGGTAAACACACACTATATCAAATAAAATCTAAGTTTATTTGTCACATGCCTAGGATACAGAAGGTGTAAACGGTACAGTGAAATGGTTACTTGCATAGTGGAGTCTTTTTTTTTTTTTACATGTAGCAAGCTAGCTAGCTAAACAATTAACCATAATCCCAACTCTAATGCCACGTTCAAAACAACTGGGAATTCGGAAATCTCAGACTTCCGAGCATTCAAAACAACTGGGAACTCGGAAAAAAACCAGCTCCGACTGGGGAAAACTCAATTTGAACAGTCATCCAACTCGGAATTCCAACTCGGGAACTCGGGCCTCTTTCTAGGGCTCCGACTTTTCGACCTGAAGGTCACTGACCTCACTGGCCTCGTATCTTTCCAAGTTCCCAGTTGTTTTATACTACCACGCATGAATCTGCAGGTAGCTAAAGCTAACCAATTAGGTTCAATGTTAGCTATCTATGTTATGTTAGCTTTCCAAGATACAAATAATATTACTAAACAGATCATACACGTAATGTTAGCTAGCGAGCCAGCCAGCTAACGTTAGCTAGCTATAATATCTGAAAATGGATGTCACGATCATCCTCCAGAAAGTAGTCCATCACAAATTTTTCCCACTGAGCTTTGTCGATAGCGCTATTAACTTCAGGGCAGCAATGTTAAGAGCAGTAGCAAAACTTTTTCAGTTCTTCATGATATATTTTTTTTTAAGCTGCGGTAGACAGGATTATCCACACATACTGAGCAGCTCGTGTTATACACAGAAGCATGCTACATGGCAGACCAATCCGAACTCATCTCTCGGCATGTCCAGCCCATCTATTATCTCAGTCAGTCATGGCTTGCGGGAAGGTTCCTGTATTTTTCCGTGGCTAAACCAACTAGGCTCATTATTTAACAATTGTATTCGTATTTACAGATGGCAGACAAGTATGTTATTAAGGCACATGAAAGTTCACATATTCCAGAAGGCCTTTCTGAACAAATAAAAAAAAAGGCATTTTGATTTTTTTTTTTAACGACATTCAAATGCCTCTCCTGTGAATTAGTGACGTGAGACATATTCCTAGTTTCTTGAAACTGCTGCTCCTGTTTCTGACTTCTATTTTGCTGCTCCTTTCTCACTTGGCTCCCCCTCCCTCTCTCTCTCACTCTAGGCATCCCCTACAGTGAGCACAGCAGCTACCTGGAGCTGAGGCGTTTTGTCCAGTGGCTGCGGCCCCTCAAGATAATCCCCACGGTCAACGTGGGCAGCTGGGCTAGCCGGAAGGCCATGGAGAGGTGCTTCAGCGAGTGGCTAACAGAGGCTTACAAGGCTAATAATGTTAAAGGAATCTAAAACAGGACACTTCAGTGTTGGTACACAGCCAAGTGCAAACAATATATGACACAATACTTGAGTGTTAGCTTATTGGTTTATTCGGATCCCCCATTTGCTTTTGCGGTCCACACAAAAACATAAAACACGACAAGTAACAAAACACTGATACACTGATAGACAAGAACAGTCACACACATTTAAAATACAACGATATACAAACAATACAACTAAAGAATCATTTTTGTCTAAATTCTGTGTGTTTGAGTGTTCATTTCAGTCGTTGTGCTCGCTGGGCTATATCGGGATGTAAAGGACGCAGAGGGTAACGTGAAGCAGAGATCTGAATAGTTGAATAGGAAACGTTCTTTGACCATTTTTAATGATTATTATTCAATTCTATAGTTTTCGTAACACCAGTGAGCTATGTAGACAATTAATTCTAGAAACGATCATCTGTTTCTGGTACGTTGAACAGTGGATGGGGGGTAGTTTTGACTATTACGCTGATGGGGAAGTACCCATTTTTTGTAGGTTCTGGATTTATTAAACAATAGGTTTATATTTTTGATAAATCAATGCAACAGGTTGCGATGATTACATTACCGGAAATGGGTTATAGGTTTATATTAGAAGGTGTAGTCAACTTAATTAAACATGGTATTATCTGATGTGTTTTGAGTAGGATTATTTCTTATAGGATTGGTGGAAGTACCCTCACATCTCAAACAACTTTTTAATAAACGGCTGGGATCAAATATCACTGATTCTTTATGCGTAGTAATTGATTATATTTGCGAATGACTAAAATATAAAATTTAGAGGGGTGACAGGAACAATCTAAGGGGAAACAGATATTACCTATGTCGTTGGACAGTGATCCAGTAACGATACCATGATAATTTGATATGGGATCAAATGGAGCCGATTTTGGGGTTGAAAAATCAATGTGAGAATTACAGAGAATGAAGTCTAAAGGGTAATCAGTTAAAAATACTCAGTGTAAACTCAGAGAAACTTTAGTGTTTTTTTATCTTTTAAGAGATGTTATGTCATCTTCTGAAGTAGTCACAAGTAATTAATTTGAAACAAACGATTAATTAGTTAAGGGAATACAGTGGAATTATCATTTACCATGCTTGTTGATGATTAAGAGTAAATGTTAACAATTTGTAAACTTTATTTTCCAGGAGAAAAGGGCTTTCATCTTTTTCAGATGTTCCCGTGTATATGGACTTGGGAAGAGATGTTAGTTACATTCGGCAGTTTGATAAGTATGAAGATATCCGGATTAGGTCATAAGAGGGAGCTACCAAATTAAATAAGGTCTGGACATTTTTGTTTGTTGTTTTCCAATATGGTTTTTCAAATAACCACACACAACCCACCTAGTATGATGGTTATATAGGGTTTTTATTTTTTATTTCAGGGGGTTTTAATGGGTTAGAGATTATACGTTTTAAAGGCGTACACACATGGAATTTTCAGAAGTTTTGTTTTCTGAGTGAGTTTTGGGTAAACACGTTATTTCTTTTGAGAAGAAATATAATGAGGACTTACTGTACACTTGGGATACAACATTTATGAAATATTTTGACTGTTGTTAATGATTAGTCTACCATAGAATGAAACACTTATTTGAAGGGTTTGAATGACCTCTGACCTCTGTCCTGACTTTCTAGTGTGATTTGATCACCCACACTGGAAAACCAAGTGACATAGGATGATGAATTTAAGGTAATTTATTATACAGAGTTAAGGGTCATTTGTAATACTGATAATTATGACGAAGTTTATAATTTGGCAATAGTCCTATATATGATTTGGACCATGACAAGGACAGAGTGAGAGAGCTAGTCCTGAATGAGGGACACCTGTCGCTAGTCAATTTTAATATTCCTTGAATTACCTTATGGAATACAATTAAGTTAATGTATTATCAAATGTTGTCATTTTAATTTCATTTATTATTTTGGTTTAACCGGCAATGTTGTTGTGAATCCAAAGGGAGGAAGTACTGGTCGCATGGGTCTTTTTGGTAAATATGCAAATTGTATTAAGAATATGAGCAGTAGTAATGAATGTGTTATGGGTTATATTAAATGTTTTATGTTCAAGTGTATTTGTGGTAGGAGGCAGGGTGTAGAGGAGGCTATGAAACTAGTGACCTATAACAAGCTGCAAGAATGTGCACTTCCTAATCTCAAGGCTTTTCCTGACTGATAAGAAGACATGGTATAGTAGCCTACGGTGTCTCACTTAACAATGTTCTTAAGACTTTCTAACCACGAGTGAAGGCTTCTCTGCCCAACCTAGCAGGAGAATCTGAGCATTGTCTGCGCCCTGGAGACTTTGTGGTGGTAAAAGACTACAGAAGAAAGAGCTGGAAAGACCCTAGGTGGAGGTGCCCGTATCAGGTGTTGCTGACTACCTCGATGGAGGGGAAAGTAACAGAGAGAGATACCTGCATCCATGTGTCCCACTGTAGGAGTGTTCCAACCCCAGAGGAGGAAGATGGCACCGCCACTGCGGAGCATTGTTTTTTATTGTGTCTGTCTGTGTCTGTGTGTCTTCGCAGCAGTGACTCTCAACTTCCCTATTGGTACGCTGCCAGAAGCACACACTCCACAGAATTATGTTGATAAATGGAGAAGGCCTCTGCATGATCCGAGACCCTAGTGACGGAAGAAGGTTCAGAGCCAAAGGGACCATAAATCATCACCCAGGCTACACCAACGGATGTACGGATAGAGGGGAGATCGACCTGGTATCATCTAAACCACTGCAACAGAGTACACAAGGAAACCGACGACCTAGAGATGAGGAAGTTGAGGATGATGGAGCTGGCCAGAATACAATGGCAATGGGAATGCTACTGATGACCTCCAAGAACTTCAAGATCTTCCAAAATTTCAAGAATCACCTGACGTCCACACCATTCATTTCTCTGTCTGTGGAGGGTTTCCCTAAAAGAAATTGAGGTCTAACTTCCCGATCCTGTGAATCTGCGGTGTAGTTGATAAGGGGAGTATATTAAAAATTGGTATTAAGAATAATTGGTAAAACATAATAATTGGTCATATAGTCAATGCTTATATGGATTTCTTGGATTAGAAATGAACTCAACTAAACTGTTATGTTCTGTCTTCTCTTGAGGTAAATGCAGATGGTGTCTTGATGCATAGCAGGGATAATTCGGCCTAGAATAGTGTGAACCTAAAAAAATAAAACTCTAAACCAGCTGAAGATGAACATCAGAGGCGTTGAAGCCGTTCTTGTACAGCACCACTTCTACCTGCAATCAGTCTACAATAGCCAATCGAAGCTGTTCTAAATTAAATCAACCTCTTCACCCTCATCATTCAGTTAGACCTAATTTAAATTTGATTGTGAAGTAACTTGCACAATTATCACTCATTAATCTATTTGTCATTCATTCAGTGAGGAGAGAGAGATGCACGCATTAGCGCCTACCAACATCCCACAACACATTGTCTTGGCGGATTAAGTTAGGAATAGGTGTGAAAAAAACTGGCAAACAGACATGTTTGATTTTAAAAAATCTGACAACTGAACATTGTAAAATACAAACATTTAGGAAAAGTCAGGGAAGAAGCAGGACAAAGCTTTTTTTTGGGCAGCTTTTTTTTGTTAACAAAATCAAACGTCAGTGGCCGTTGGCCTATGGCAGTTCTAGTGTTAAGGATTCACGTGAGGCCATGTACTAAACAGAGTGAGTAAGGTAGTGTAGTAAACAACTAAAGATTGCAAGACTAAAAGTTTTGAAAGTAGTAGCCTACAATAATGAAAAACTCCAGGTAAAAATATACTTTATCTAGTCCTTGGCCTATATTCTAATCTGACTTTGGTGCAGATCATGTTGTTCTTCACATAACCGTCTCTGGTAAACACACACTATCAAATAAAATCAAAGTTTATTTGTCACATGCACAGGTAACAGAAGGTGTAAGCGGTACAGTGAAATGGTTACTTGCATAGTAGCAATATCAAAAATAGAAAGTGTCCAGATACAAATATTTGGTACATATTTTAGAATTATTAGATGATGCTTACCCAGACACACTTGTCTAAATTGATGGGTCATGTGAAGGAAATGCTATAACCAACCCCCAGCCACATCTAGCTAAGTGGATGGGTCACTATTGTCTAGACATGTACACATGTTCATAAAATACAATAGATGGCTGTAATCCCCCCCAGTCACACCTGGCTAACTTGATGGGTCATGTAATCATCTGGTGAAGTGGAGTCTTTTGTTTAGACATTTAGCTAGCTAACTAGCTAGCTAAACAATTAACTATAATCCCAACCCATACAGTACAAACAGATTATCATAGCTAGCCCCCATGCATGAAATGCTGTAGTATGAATCTACAGGTAGCTAATGCTAACCAACTAGGTTCAATGCTAGCTAGCTAACAGTAAGCTTTAACTTGCAATGAAAACAACTTTCTGAAAAAATTAGAAACATATCATATCTGAAAATGACTTACCCGTATACATGGATGAACGCTTCACGGCAGACTGGAACCACTTTAACTAAGTAAGATGTCCGGCTGTGTTGTTTACATTTTGTTTGTAGCTACAGCTTGTTTGGCCCGTTGTGTCAAGTCACTCATGTTCACACTGACCGTGTGCAGAAAGTACAGTGCCCTCCACTAATATTGGCCCCCTTGGTAAATGTGAGCAAAACCGGCTGTTAAAAAAATGTATTTGCTGTTTATCCTCTTGGTCTTTCATTCAATCATTCAAAATAGTCACAAAAATCGAACCTTTAATTGAAGTAAAATTATTGAAAAAAATAAATGTGAAATAAATTCTTATGAGTGAAATCTAAATGAAGTATATTCCCATTCATATTTTACGGTTTTAAGTTCACCTGAGTGATTATGAACACTAAGTGGTAAGCCATGACTTTCTGTTTCACTGGGGTATAAATATGAGGTGACACACAGGCCAAGTTTCCATAGTCATCCATCACTATGGGAAAGACCCAAGAA